AAGGTATATTTTATAAATATATAATTTACTAATTAAAATTAATATCTAAATAAGTAATTATATATTTAAGATTTATATAAGAGTATATTTATAAGCTAATTAAGTACTAGGAGAAAGTTTTTTTTTTTAATAAGGTCTTTATTACTTATAGTAATAGCTTAAAAATAAAGTAATATTTTACTTATAAAGTATATATATATAACCTATTAGAGAACTATAAATAACTTACTAATTATAAGGGCTTAGGAAGAGAGATTTAATAAAGATAAAGTCTAGCTATAGGTACTAATAAGATAAAAAATTCTAATATTTTAGGGTATAATTAATACCTATTAGAGGTTATTTTTTAATATACTTTTAGGTAACCCTAATAGCCCCTAATATAGTATCTCTATATAAATAATTCTTAACCTCTTATAGTCTAAATTACTTATAATTTTAGAACCTAAGAATATATTTATATAAAATAATATATATACTTATATAATTAATTTAGTATAAAATTAGTTATATAATTTTATATAAAAAAATAATATTAAGATTATAACTTAGTTAATATATTTCCTTAATTTTAACCCTATTAAGAATATTTAGGTATTACTAAAAGAGAAAATAATATAGTATTATCTAAAACTATAAAAAATACTAGTTAATAAGTATCTTTTTAATTTATTAGAAAATACTACTATTAAGTACTAAGAGGATTTTAAATAAAAGCTTTTTTATTAGTTAGTTATAATAGTAATATATAGGCTAGAGGCTATTATCTACGCTAGGGGCTAGTATATAAAATACTAGTTATATTAATTAATATAGAATTTAATACTTTATTATTATATAATATAGGTAGTATTTTAATAGAGAATTAGTGCTATAATATGGGTTTTGAGTATCTTGGTGATGGTACTGCTACCCCGCCTAAATTGATCGTGAGCGGAATTACCTACGACCCACTGTAGCCTAACGGAGGATCAAGCGTCGCAGCACGTACGTCATGGCACGGGCTAGACTAGGAACCATTATTTCGCCAAGAACGTGCCAGATTGCTTCTTCGCTGACGGCGCCAGCGGCATCATCCGCCTCTGCGATAAATCAGAGAGTCCTGCGGGCTGCTGGACAAGACCATCACATGCCAAAGGAAAGAACGCATAAACTCTCGTTCTGAGGGGCCACTTTCGCCTCTCCCGCCCCCTCATTTTATTACTCTCTCCTTACTCCGCGCATCCCGCTCTGATGCTTCAAAATGCTGGGGCAATCTCCACCTTGGTCTGCATTGCTGTCTTTTGACTCGCGGAACGGCCGCCAGAATGTAAAAAAAGTCTAAAGTCAAAGCGAATAATCACATGCGTGCCCCATCAGGCTACCCCATCTGATACATGGAACTAGTTGACTAGGTGTTATTATTGTTTGCCACTGGCGAACAAAGTTAAGCAATTTTTAGCACTGGACAGTTTGATGTTTAGCGGCTGACTTCGGCGTTCCCCCCATGCCAAGACAGTTTCTTTTTTCACCTAACCCCTTCCCCGCATCCGTGTTATTGCTTTTCTCATTGTTTCCCCGGCTCTCCGTCCCAACACGGCAATATGCGCAGGGACTTCGTGCGGGGTGCAAGACACTTGCCCTCGGCTTTATAATAAAGTATCAGGTTGGGGGTCACCTTATAACGCAGGGACAAGCGCCCCTTCCACATTGTTTCGTTATGACTTGACCAACTCTCTTTATAATCATTTTTTCTTTAGGTCGAGAAAGAAGCAACTTTTAGACAACCTACTAAAACAGTTGCAAAGACAACTCGCCAACATGGGGTTCGCGCAAGAGCACAACCCCCATAACATGACTGCCGACTGGCAGTCCAAGGACCCTTCAACATGGAACATTTATCAAAAGTTCATCGATGCCATTGACATCACGCCCATCATCCCGGGCAAGCCGCCGCCCGTCTTCGCCAAGACGGACAAGATGCCCTTCATGGCCCAGTGGTCGCAGCACCTCTTCATCATCACCTACGCCGCCATCCCCTTGCTGCTGCACCAGGCCTACGTGTCCTTGACCGGCCAGCCGCTCAGCAAGGCGGCCGTCATCTTCCTGTACAACCTCGCCTACGTCCTGGTCGCCGTCCGCGAAGTGCGCATGCTGCGCAGGCTCACCTACAAGTTTGGCTGTCTCGACGGCGACGTCGCCGACCGCGACGGCATTCCCAACTCGGGCAGCGGCAAGATCATTGGCGAGATGCACAAGACGGCCGGCTTCCGCATCATCATGGCCACCTGGATCGCCTACGAACCGGGCCTGACCCCGCTCGCCTTCTTCAGCAAGCCGGACATTTGGGCGCCGCTCGTCTTGAAGCTCGCCCTCTACGGCCCCATTCTCGACTTCTTCTTCTACACCTACCACCGTGCCTGCCACGAGGTACCCTGGCTGTGGAAGTACCACCGCACGCACCACCTCAACAAGCACCCCACGGCGCTGCACTCGGGCTTCGCCGATGACGAGCAGGAGATTATCGAAATCGTCATCGTGCCCTTCCTGACCTACGCCACCCTCTGGGCCCTCGGCCTCAAGCTCAACTTTTACGAGTGGTGGGTGTGCTTCGAGTACGTCACCTACTCCGAGATTTTTGGCCACAGCGGTCTTCGCATCTACGGCACTGTGCCGTCGCCCATTACCCCGGTGCTCTCCTACCTTGGCATGGAGCTGGTGCTCGAGGATCACGACCTCCACCACCGCAGAGGCTGGAAGAAGAGCTTCAACTACGGCAAGCAGACGCGCGTCTGGGACCGCATCTTTGGCACCTGCACTGACCGCATCGAGGCCAAGCCTGACAACGTCGACTTTTCCAACAAGGCTCACATGCCTCTCTTTTAGATGCTCCGACGTTGGAGGGATAAATCTTAAAAAGAATAATGAGATTAGATGTCTGATTTAGCGATACCATGATACACTTAGATTATTAGATATATAAATTTATCAAGTTGCATTCATTTGCCTCAAGTCGTGATTGATACAGTGAGGCAAGAGTCTATTTAGTCATGTTGAAAGTGTATTTGCTATTATGTATTAAAGTTGTACCATGCTCCTCTCCGTTTTGGCGAGTGGCCATTAGACGAATAATGGACCTGACAGTCTTGACAGCATGTCAACACATACCAAGGAGCATAGCCATTCAAAGCAGAGCAACAACAGCCACAACAGCGGCCAGGGCGCCGCCGGCGATGCTGCCGGCACCGCCGGTGACGGGCACAGAGGTAGGGTTGTTGCCGGGCTGGCTGCCGGGCTGGCTGCCGGCAGCACCAGGGTTCATGGCGCCGGTGCTCTGAGCAGAACCCGTCTTGACAACTGTAAGAGACGGCGAGTCGCAGCTGGTGGTGGGAAGGGGCGAGCGGGTGACCATGTCGTTGGTCGAGGAGGGTGTCTTGCAGTCAGGGCACGTCACGGTCGTGGTAACATTGGCGGCAATGGCAATGGCTGTAACCTGTGTCAGCAGAGGAATGAGAGAAACATGGGGTAGAGTTTCACGTACAAGCCAGAGAGGCAACGATGGTAATGAACTTCATAATGACGGTATTGTATATGCGCTGTATTAAGTCAAAGGGAGCAAAAGCTGAAAAAATGACAAGAAACGACGTGAAACTGCAGAGCGAGTGGTATGTAGTTTTTTTTTTTTCGAGAAAAATGCAGAGGGCATGAGAAGGTAATAGTAGTTTTACAGGAACAGGGCTTTGTCCTAGGCGAGGCAAACTTCTTCCCATCATGACGAAATAGGCAGACCATGACTAGATTGGGTATTGGTCCCATTCTTTGACCAGCATTTCTCAAAATGGCGTCCATGTTAGTCGAAGTACCTTCTTACTTGGCGCACGGAGCTAGAGTTGGCCGTCCGGTAGATGCCCAAAACAACGTTCAAGTCAACAAGCGAGCTGGGCCAGCAGGGATGACAGTTTAATGGCTCGCTTAGCACCACGTACAGACTGGCATCCCGAACAGCCGTAGTCAAGAACTATCCATTTCCCCCATAATAGTATATCAAATCCTCTAGTTTGGTCTCGGAGGGCAATCTCATTTCCACGGATGCTCGCGGTTCCGAGCTGGTTACAATGGGGGGCGGGGGAGCCGAGCTAGCGCTTCCAACCATTCTTTGCAGATCTTTTGCTGCAACGACCGGCCCTGCGAATGCAGCTAATGTGCCGTGTTTTGGTCTTCTTTGGGAATTTCATTTCGCGCATAATGGTCCTAGTTACGCTACATATAGGTGCCTGGCTAGAGGCGCCAGCTCCCCCCCGCACCGCAAGGCTGCCATCCCGTTGCCGCATTGAGTGTTTAGACTTTTTTTTTTTTACCTTGAAGATCCGTTTCGTCGATCAAACATGCAAAGTGGGAGTTTCTGTATTAACAACGGAGTAGAGTCCTCGAACATTGACAGGATTTTATCCCCCACGTTTTCATTGACAAATGAACAATATTGCAGACAGAGAGTATTTTACTATTTGAGAAAGCTCAGCCCGGCGATCTATCAAGCTAGTTGCTGTTTCGGGAAATGGGCGACCCGGCTGGTAAGCGTTCCGACGCGCAAGGCGAAGGGATGCGCCTCCCATCAGATAAAAAGAGGATCAGCCAACGTGCTGGATGCCAGCTATAGAGCTATAGAGCTGTGCACGCTTGTCCCGGCATGTTGTGCATCCGCGCGCCACTCTGGGATAGCACGGTAAGGTTTGTTTGGAATCAATTCAATTATTCATCGAAATTAGAATGACAGATTGCGCGCAGTTGTTGGCTAGTTTTGCCAACTTTGCCAACCTTCTCGAGTGAACAAACTTGTTGTTAGTCGCAAAACGGTGTGCGGCATGAGCCATGATGAGGCTCTGGAACATGGCAAATACGTCACTAGTTGTGCTAATGAAATTTGTCTTTTATTTTGGAAAGCTAGACCGGCTGCAAAAAATGCCGAACGCGGTTCCAGTGGTTTGCCTTGGAGTGATGACAGCTGTGAGATGATTGTGTCGAAGGAAATAAAAGCATGCTGCCAGCCGGCTCCTTTACCAGACTGCCCTCACCTAACCCCTCTATATACTCTCGAGTGAATTCTTTTGTATACGAAAAGAGATACCCATAATGCATTTCTCTCAAGCTACCATTGCGGCCGTTGTTGCTGCTGGCTTCGTCTCTGCCGCCCCGACCATTGAGAAGCGTGCTGGTATTACCGATGGTGAGAAAATTATACAAGAATGGCAAATTTAGCAGAGACAAAAAGCTAATGGGAAAGTAGCCGACATTATTCAGTATGCTCTGACTCTGGAGCATCTCGAGGACACCTTTTATCGCGATGGTCTTGCCAAGTACAGCGAGCAAGACTTCAACAGCGCCGGCTTCGACTCCAAAGTCTACAACAACATCAAGACCATTGCCAGTGACGAGGCTGCTCACGTCGACTTTTTGACAAAGGGTCTCCAGGGTAAGCACTCGATTTTCATCAAGAAGCCTTAGCCCCCCATCACTGACCAAATCTCAGCCGCTGGTGCCAACCCTGTCGCCGCCTGCACCTACGACTTTGGCTACAAGGACGTCAAGTCGTTCCTGGCCACTGCCTCCATCCTCGAAGGTGTTGGTGTTTCCGCCTACCTTGGCGCCGCCGCCGACATCATGTACAAGGCGTACCTGACGGCCGCCGGCTCCATCCTGACCGTCGAGTCGCGCCACTCGTCCTACATCCGCGCCAGCCTCGACCAGAAGCCCTTCCCCCAGCCCTTTGACACGCCCCTCTCCTACAACGAGGTCTACTCCCTCGCCTCGGGCTTCATCAAGTCCTGTCCCGAGACCAACCCGCCCCTGCCCGTCAAGGCCTTCCCCGCCGTCGCCGTCGCCGCCGACACCAAGATGCCCATCAAGGCCGGCGACGAGATTGTCCTCCAGACCCCCGGCTACCAGCTCCAGGGCGACAATAGCGACACCAAGATTTATGCTGCCTTTATTGCCGTGACTGGTCCCGTCTTTGTTGACGCTTACCTCGTGGATGGCGGCTTCAAGGTTCAGATCCCCGAGGGCTTCGCCGGCCAGACCTATGCTGTTCTGACCAGCTGCAAGGATGCTGTCAACGATGACACTATTGCTGCTGGCCCTGCCATTATTGAGATTTCTTCGTAAATAATGACGTTTGGTATCGGAGCAGGTGTACGAGGACGCGCGACTGCTTTCACATGTCATATAATTTTTTAATTCTTTAATAAAATGTATAAAATTTAATGAAAGAGACAGAGTAATGTAATCGAGTACCCTTCCGCTTGTCTTTAATTCACTGCAAACCAGAATGAACTGTTCTCTAAACGATTTTTCCTGTGCGACGCTTCGTCCCATTGTGTTAGTGGGTATTTGAGCTCGTGCAGGCAACAAATTAGGTCAATTGGCCTCGAATTCGCGAAAATTATCTTTAGCAATTCATGTCCTGTGTCGTGAGCTTGAGAAAACTGAAAAAAGAAGAAAAGGATCACTTGATTTTAGAGAAGAAAATTGATGCGCAGCGATCTGCCTGCAGAGCAGCAATGATGACTAAGCGGCTAGCATCATGTGATCTGGCGCCAAATTGCTGGAGCCACCTGAAAGCTATCAAATGAGGGTCCTGCAAGGCAAGCTTCAACGCGCCCAGGAAACGCCCAACAGCTTTTCAGTCATCTCATTCATTACCACTCTAGCCCATCGAGTACGCCATCATAACGGTCTCATCTCATAGAACCCGCACGTATACATCATTAGGCACCATTGTTAGCGCATGTCCCAAAGCTGCTAGCGCTCATCGCCCGCCCAGCTGGGCTCTAACCCAGCATCATGGCTTACGAGCCTCGCGGAGACCAGCCTGATCGAGGCGGCGGAGGCCCAGGACAGGATGGAGGTTTTATGAAAGTTAGAGGCCGAAGTACGTGCATCTTTGCGCCGTGAAATCTACACGCGTGGCAGGAACAGACGATGAGCGCTAGCTGATCCCTGATAGGACCTGTCACTGACTACAGCTCAACCATCATCCACTGGCAACGCAATAGAGTACCAAATTACAAGGGCTCCTATATTGGCGAGGCAGAGAGGCCCAGCGCAAGCTACATTATTGATGTTTGCAAAATTGTTTCCAACATGTTCCTGACTCATCGCTAACTCCTGGCCAGATGCTGCCACCTGTCGCCAGGCCGACCAATCCTGCAGACACTATCCCGGCCAAGCATTTACACTCGTCACTGAATAAGATAAAGCACCCCGTCAATGTGGTGCGATGGACTCCCGAAGGTCGTCGTCTTCTCACAGCCTCCACAAGTGGTGAATTCACACTATGGAACGGTACCGGGTTCAATTTTGAAACGATTATGCAGGCGCACGACTCGGCTATTCGCGCGCTAGAGTACTCCCACAGCGACGACTGGCTTGTCTCTGGAGACCACGATGGCCTCATCAAGTACTGGCAGCCTAATTTCAACAATGTGCAGAGCATCAATGCGCACTCGGATCCGATTCGCGACCTGGCTTTTAGCCCCAACGACGCCAGGTTTGTCACGGCTTCCGATGACTCTACGTTGAAGGTTTTCGACTTTGCTCTGGGATCAATGGAGACGAAATTGGAAGGGCATGGCTGGGACGCGAAATCGGTGGACTGGCATCCGACCAAGGGTCTTTTGGTCTCGGGGTCCAAGGACCATCTAGTCAAGCTGTGGGACCCAAGAACTGGTCGCTGCCTGACCACTCTCCACGGCCATAAAAGCACAATCACAAAGGTCCTTTTTGAACGAGTAAGGGGAAGCTGCCTGGCCACTTCTGCGCGAGACCAAACGGCGCGCGTCTTTGACCTGCGCATGATGCGAGACATTTGCCTTATCAAGGGCCACGAAAAGGACATTTCCACCGTCGCATGGCATCCTATTCACGCCAATTTGCTGTCAACTGGCGGCATGGATGGCTCACTATTCCACTATCTTCTCGACTCGCCCAACCCGCCTGCAGGCCAGCAGCTCACTGTGGCACCGTACGACAGCCCGGACCCGACGACAACTCCAGCACAGTCCATCTGGCCAACACATAAAATCTCGTTTGCGCATGACTACGCCATCTGGTCGCTTGACTGGCATCCGCTGGGCCATATTCTAGCATCAGGCTCCAACGACAGAATTACGCGTTTCTGGACACGCGCTCGTCCGGGCGATGCCGACGTGTTTCAGGACCGGTACCACATTGGCGAGGCCGCAGCTGAGGCGCAAGGAACCTGGGACCGCCGTGGTAACCGTCGGCAGAGGCAGGAAGAGGAGCAGCAAGAGATTGAGGATGAAATGGATGCTCTCGTCGATCAGGATGCGCAGAAATCTGCAGCTGGCGCTGGCGCGTCGTCTTTGCCCGGCATCCCTGGTCTTCCGCTAGGCGGCGGCAGTATCGTGCCCGGAATAGGATCGGCCGTGCCGCCGCCGCCTTTCATCCCGGGTGTCGGAGGCGGGGCCAACGGCCATATCCTCCCGCCCGGTCAGTTCCCACCGCCTCCATTCCCCATACCAGGCATGAACGGTGCCCCGCCGCCGCCTCTGCCGGGCATCGATCCCAACAACCCACCGAACCCGATGCAGCTACTCGAAATGATGAAGAAGGCTGGCGTGCCGCTTCCCCCGCCAGGCCAGCTGCCGCCGGGGCTCATTCCACCTCCTGGTGCTGCTGGGGGCATGCCAATTATACCGCCGCCCATGCCCATGAGCATGGATGGTAAAAGCGGCGACGGCGGGCGTCGCAGGGCGCCTCTACCTAGTCAGGCAGACAGTCTGCGGGAGGAGCAGCGACAGGGTAATTACAAGCGCATACGGTAGAATTGAACTTGCGTGAGAAGATTTCAAAAATAGCGTCAGGGGAGGGGGGGTATGTCCATTTACGGCGTAATGGGGGGTTTAGGATTTATCTTCAGCGGTGGCGGGGAAAGGGCGTGTACATTATACAGAGGCCATAGGCAATGTTAAACTATACAGTGGTATTCGATCTCACAAGTGGATACGGCACTATTGTCTGTCGATGCATACAGATCCGTTGACTGCCACTGCTTCTTTTCATCTTTGCAAGAGACCCAGTGCTTAACCCCCCCAAAGCAGCGTGATAAAGCGCGCACGCGATATGAAGCTTACACTCATCACAGCGCTGGCGACCGTCGCACCGTTCTGCGCCGCCGCCACCCAGACGCCGAGCTACCAGCATCTGCCCTCTCTCCGGGAGCAAGCCGCCCTCCAGGAGAAATGGTACGCGGAACGCGGAGAAGCAATCCCCGCACTTCTCAAGAAGCACGGCGTAGACGCCTGGCTGGTAACGTCCCCCCCCCCCCCCCCTCCTCCTCTCTCACCAAACTCACATTACACCTCTAGATTAGCCAGCGCGAGTACGCCGAAGACACCGTCTTCTGGTCGCTCACGCCAAACTCCTTTTCCGCGCGCCGCCGCACCACCATGCTCTTCTTTGCGCCGCCGTCATCCCCCATCTCAAACGATCACTCCTCCCTGCCCACCTCGTACACCTTTGTCGACAACACGCCGCAGCTATGGGACGACGTGCGACGGGTGCTCGCGCGACACCATCCAGCGCGCATCGCCGTCAACGCGCACCCAGAGATTACGTTTGCGTCGGGCCTGCACGCGGGGGGGGGGGGCTGGCGGCTGCGCGGCGCGGGCTGGGCGATGCGTGGGTGGCGGACCGGTTCGTGCCTGGACGCGGCGCCGATGCTGGCCGTCGAGTACGTCGGCACGCAGATTGCGGGCGCGGCTGCCGTGGTACCGCCGCATGCACGCAGGAGACGGCGTTTGGGCCATCATCGCAGAAGGGGTTTAGCGAGCGCGTGGTGAAGCCGGAAAGGACGACGCCGCGGGAACGTGGAGTAGTGGATGCGCGAGCAGATTCAGAGCCTCAACTACACGACGTGGTTCGTTCCCATCCGAGCGTGACGGTCATCAAGCCGGATACGCCTTGGGGAGCAGAGGCGGCGGGCAATGAAAACATGGCAGCGGCGGCAGATGAGGCGATACAGTATGGCGAATTGCTGCACGTTCGACTTTGGCGTTTCGGCGCTCGGCATGAACACGGACACGCAGCATCTCGCGTACGTGCTCTACCCGGGGCCAGATATCGCACGACGACGACGACGACGACGACGTGTCGCAGGGCTTCCGCGAGGCCCGGCGCAAGGGCAACCGCCCGCAAGACATGACGCGGGAGCACATGCGGCACGGCCGCACCGGCAACCAGATTTCTGGCCGCCATCCGCCGCCAGATGAAGCACGAGGGGGCCTCGAGGGGGCAAGATTCACTGCCACGCGATTGGCGACTGGGGCCACTCTGCCGGCACACTCATTGGTGCGTTTTTATTTATTTTATTTAATTTATTTTTTTTTTTTTTTTACTTTTGAACCTTGAATAACTTGTGCTACTCGAATTATCCCTTTCTCATTCAGCTAATGTTTTCTGGCATAGGCATGATAAACTTGCAGGATCACGTCCCCATACTCGGCAATCTGCCTCTTCTCGCCAACACCTGGTACAGCATCGAGCTGCGCGCCGACCACTTTGTGCCTCGAATTTAACACCACGTTTAGCTTCCCGCTCGAGGAAGTTGTCTACTGGACGCCCAAAGGCGGCTTTGAATAGGTTCATGGCCGCCAGGAACGATTTCATCTTATTCGCACGTCTGGGCTCTACGTCTAGCCAAGACGCGGCGTCGTCTGAAGAATTGTGAAATCATGTCAAATCTCACATTAGATATTCAATACGAGAGTTCACACACACACACACACACAAAAAGAAAAAAAAGGCAACCTTTGCGGTTCAGTGACTTTGTATTCACGCTGCTGTCCAACTTAGTTTCCCTTTCTCGCGAGCCATACCCCATCGCTGCAATATGGCAAGTATAACGACCAAGACTAGTAGTAGTAAAGAGCAGATTCAACAACAAAACAAAACCAGGGGAAACAATGCTGCGCAGAGTAAAATAAAAAGGGAACCAAACACGACAAGACGGATAAATATAAAATAAAAAACAAATAAATCATCCTCAACTCCTACAATTCTTACAAGTTAAGAAGAAAAAGGAGACAAGTGCGTAAGACACTTCGCTTGCACGCATTCCTTGTTCCCTTCTTTTCAAAAATTTCCATCTCTCCGCTCGACACGAAAAGTGTACAACCGCACCATGTAACCGAGCCCACCTCCCTTTGCCGTTTCAATTCCGTCCTTGCCCTCGGCCGTCCGATAAACTCCAAATCAGAGACCCATTAAACAAGACCAACATCGTCGACGTAGATTGGCCATCATCCTCAAAATCATGTCAAGAAATCCAAGTCTCCCGCTTTAGGATCGCCGTGAGCCGCTGATGCTCTGCTCCCGATCTTGGTTGCTCTGCTTCTTCTCCTTGCGGGCCTTGATGACGAAATCGGCCATGATTTGAATGTGATCAGCAGGGAACCACCAGTTGGGAAACGCCGGAATCCGCTTGAGAGCCGCGCTGTCCATCGCACCCAGTACCTCGACAACCTCTAGCGTGTTGGTCGAGTACCAAATATAGTCAATGACGCCGGAGAAGCCAGGCGTGTAGTTTGTAAACGGCATCTCGTCAGCGGTTCCTCTTGTAGCGGCGTACGCATCACGTAGGCTGAAAGGATGCTCGATACCGTCGCGCGTGAAGCTTCCGTATACGTGCCCGGCCAACTCTGGGTGCTCAGGAGCCACACGACCCTTGGACATGAGGTCGAAGACGGACGAGTCTTCTGTCGAATTAAAATCGCCACAGACGACAAGAGGAATCTCAGTGTTGCAGCGATATTCTTGACTGGGACCCACTTCATCTGCCCCAGCGTCACTGCCTTCCTCACCAGGCGCAATAATCAACCTCTTGTCTGACTCCTTGCAGGGTGGCCACTGCGTGTACGAGTCGGCCATCTTCGTAATCTGCTCCATCAAAATACCAGTCTGGATAGCCTTGACATCGGCCAAGGTTGTTTCCCACGTAAGGTGGACGTCGACAAGGATAATCCGGGCACCTGTTTTGCGAGATTCGAACAGGGTAATGACAGCGATGTTGTCCTTGGGCATGACTCGATTGAAGACGTCGTGCTCTCCTTTCATATCAGGGCGGTTGATAGCAATTGTTGCAAATTCGATAACCTGCTTGTCAAGAACCACCCACTTTCGCTGCTTGTAAAAGACAGCACATCCGTCGACCTGACCAGCATCCTTCTCCGACATCGTTTTGGCCCGCGTTTTGGGCCAGAAAATGCCTCGATAGCCATCTGTGCTCAGCTCGGGACTCAGCTCATTTCGAAAAGCTTCGCCAGATACTTCTTGCAGAGCCACAAAGTCGGCATCGCGGACGCGTATTTCTTTCAAGATGCATTCACGTCGGTAATCCCATTTGAGGGCTTTGCTCGGTGTGTATCCGTAGATCTGTGGCGTCGCATACTTGTCGCAAAGGATATTCCAAGAGAAAACCTTGACTCGCTCAAGGTTGGGCGAAACGTCCTCTTGAAGGATAATCGGCTCGCGGGGTTTAGGCTCGGGGGGTACTAGAAGCGAATTAGCATTGAGCACTGGCATCATACCATGTAACTTATACCTGGCGCAGTTTCTCTAAAGAAGCTGATTATGCTCTTTGTGCCCTTTTCCATGATATCCTGCTTCAAGTCGTGGTTCAGAGGGTTGCCCTCGATGCCTAGTACGTCCAGCGAGTGTAGAGAGCCCAATTCATATGGCAGCTCTTGAATACTATTGTTGAAGAGTAAGAGCTGCTTCAGAAATGTGCACATTCCCAGTTCCGGAGGAATCTCAGTCAATTGATTGAAAGACACATCCAGGTGTTTCAATTGGCGGAGCTCGCCAATTTGTTTCGGTAGCCTGGAGAGCTTGTTCGAGGCGATGTAAAGCTCACATAAGAACTGATAGCGAAACAATTCAGGAGCGAGGTTGCGTAGACCTTGACCGCTCATGTCCATGTTGTGCCAGTCTTGTCGGGTTGTCTCTTTGCTGGCATCCCATGGTCGCCGTCTATCGGCATCGTTTTCGCCGTCGGCTTGTGCCTTGCCGCTAGAGGGTGGGGGACCACCTATACCCTTATTCTCTGAGGCTTTTAGTCGTGCGTAATAATGGGGTTGTTGCTGGTCCGTCATGGCAGAGTGGGCGCGTTCAGACTCTTTGTGCAATCGCATCTGCTCCGCCCACATTTCGTTTTGCGGTGCGGTCCCGGTACGAGACGCGGATTGACCGTTTGGAAGGCCCGAGTTGAATTGGGCTGACGAGGAGAGAAGGCCGGATGGGAATGATGAGTGATGTCCTAGTCCGTTAGAGGTGGGAAGGCCATGGTCGTGCTGCAAGCCTTGATGATGTTGAGCTTGCGAAGGGTGTTGATGCTGTGCATGCTGGTAATTGTAGAGCATGCCGGGCATTCCTCTACCAGCACCATTCAGCCGGGCATTGTGGCCCTGCTGATGATTCTGCGAGTACATGCCGATGACAGATCGGATTGTGTAAAATCGATTCGCTGGTTAAAATAAAATGGTCCCGGTGCGAGCTGTCGGCGGAAAGACTGCACGACAAGTCTGACTATTGGGACTCTTTGGTTTTTAAGATTTTCGAAAAGGCTAGCCTGATGTCGGTAACCATTTGTCGCTGTAGACGCGTGGCGAGACGTTTACTATGTCGACGATGGGCGATATGTGATGCTTGTCGGCGGATAAGGAAAGTAGGACGATGAAGCTCGCATTTGCGCATGGGCTTGCGTCAATGAGAAAGCAGCGCGTACGCTTGTCTAGGAGAGGACAAAGAACGGATCTCGCGGGAGGGCGCTGACGGACAAAGAGGCACCAACGGGCAGAAGCAGGGCGGCAAGCTTGCTGGTACCTTGCGAAAGCTCAGGTGGAGAAGCGCGCGCAGTCGCCGTGACGCGGGAGCAAAATTCGGTTCTCGATCGTCGAGTAGCGGAGGTGCAAAGACAACAGCTCAGGCTGGCATAGCTTCTGAATGCAGTCGCAAAATTCAAGGGGGCGCGGAGGCGAGTGTTCTATATGAGGGAGGCGAGGTCAGTTTGACGAGAGGCTGGACAGAGTTGCATCGGGGAGGACGAGGATGGGGGAACACAAGCGGGAGGCGGAAAGGATTGGCAAGTGGATCCACGCACAGCTAACGAATGTTTGCGACGGCGCTCAATTGTCGCTGGGACGAGTAGCAGAGTGCGGCGCAGAGAATGATAACGAATATCGAGGTCTAGTCAATGATTTGCGTCGTGTCGTGCTCCAAAGCAGCACATCAGAGCGTCAAACTGCGTTGGACGAGACGGGCAGTCGGGTCACGTGTTTCCTGCTCCGCACTGGCCGATCTTGGGCAAACCAGCGAATCAGATCACGTGGATCCTTGGTATTTGTGACCTGGCCACAAGGAGAGTTGTACATGTTTCAATCTCGGGGACGAACCGAAATGAGACTCGAGAACGAATAAACAAGTAAATCGAAAGGGCGTCAGGGTTCGCACCTCTTAAGAATGGGCACTGTATGTACATTGACTCATCTCGATCTACTAAATATGCGCAAGGCAGATCACTGCAGCTCCCAGCGCTATGACAGCGCCACCAGTAATACACCGCCAAAAAAGCACTATTCTAGTTTGACGGAAATGGTCAAGTGATGGCCGGGTGTACCGTCAAATACAGTAAACGCAACACCTAATATCGGCTTTTTGTACTATGGTTGCATCGTACGTGATCAGGAAAATACCTCGTTAGACGGACGGCTTTTAACAAAAGCAAAGAGGGTCAAGATTGAGGAAGAGAAGCAAGGCCGATCAAGGCACGGCACGATCAAGGTTCGAATGATAAATTGTCCGCAGGCCTGCTTAGCGGATCGTGTAAGTGATGCATATTTACCTATTACTACCTACAGTAATATGACCAGAAGGAAGGTACGCCGCCGGTTGGGCCGTACCTAGCCGTGATAGAAGGGTGGTGCGCTCGGCATTACTAGTGTAAATAGGTAGCACCCATGGCAGCGTCGTTACTGCGAATCCAGTCGCCTCGTGTGGAGAGACTTTAGCCTATAGATGTAGTTGAATGGTCAGTGTTAGCAGCACGCCACGATCCCTTTGTCAGGAGAGGAGATTCGAAATAATCGTGCCACGACTTCTCGCGATCTGCGAGTAAACATGCACCCGCAACAGACTGTTACTGAAAGTACTGCGAGGGAGAACCAAATTCTTTCACGCTAACAATCTACCCTAACTTCAGTTGTTTGTGCACCACAGCTAGCAAGCGTACCTGCATTTGTATGAATGGTGGCTATACCCTAACCGAGATGGACGACTCGGATATTAGCACCACGAATTCTGTACTCCATTCAGGGTGAGGTCGCTCCACTGCTGTAGGTACAGGAGCACTTTGTCTAGATGCAGCAGACGCGGAGTCGGGCAGCTTGTCCGCCATGTTTACTTTAAGGCCACAGTAAACCCTTGGAAGACCCTGACTTGATACAGACATTGCCACTGGCACTGGAATTCGCCTACGTACATGGAAGTACGTCTGCCAGCAGAATTTCAATTCGACGGGTACGATGTTGACACATCAAAGTAGAGCCATAGCAGTTGCTGCCTTATGTGAGGCCGATGTGGTGAGACGCACTGAAACCGTTGTCAAAGTAAGTATGCGGAATATACGGCCTTTCTCATGTACGGATCGTTTGTTTAAGGGCTTAAGGTATATCAGTAAAAAGAGGTAGCGAGGGGCTTACAATCAATACTCCAGCCAGGGGCTATCCTCTTTGGGGTTAAGTTTATCCGAGTTTGGCGTGCCCGCCATAACAGAAAGCTTTCAAAAACCCCTGAAAATACATGTGCAATATTCCAAGTCAGTGAGCAGATGCATTATGCTTCTTCTCTTACAGTCATGATTCCACAGTCACACCCGAATGTATGCCACGAATCCCAGGATAGTTCTAGTTTCTTTGGCATTAGAGACTTTAGCTGGAGGATGATAAAGAGAAGTTGATTCTGACTATTATGCCTGTCAAGGCACTAAATTCTTATTAGCTAGAAGCCAGTAAAGACCTACTTTTATTTATATAATAGCACTTATATATAGCCTCTATATATACTAACTTATAGGAAGAATAAGTAATTAATAATATAAATTTAGACTAATAACCTTATAATAATTATTATTATTTAACTAATACTAATTAATAATTAAAAACTATAAATAGTTAGGTTATAAAAATCCTAAAAATAGATTTAATTTTATTAATTTATATTAATTAAAGAAGAAAGTCCCTAAGTATTTATATTTACTATAATATTTAAACTATTATATTAGATCTTTCCTCTTATTATTTATTATAAAAAAATTTCTTTTATTTAGAATTAAAATAATATTTCCCTCCCTTAAAAGATATCTTTATTATCTTAATAAAGAACTTAGAAAAAAAAGAAAAAAATAAAAAGCCTACCTTCCTTAAGCTCTTCTTTAATAATAAATAAATACTATTTATAATATTAAAATTTTTTATAATAATAATATTAATAGTTATAACTATATTAAGAGGATTCCCTAAATCTTTTTTATTAAATTAGATATAATAAAAATTAAAAATAATACCTAAGGAAATAAAAGAATTAACTATATCTATTATACTAAAATAGAAGTACTAATAACTATTAAAGGTTAATTTAAACTTAACTATTTAAGAAGAGTTTAATAATATATTTATATAAGTTAAATAGTTCTTTAATACCTTTTCTTAAAAAAACTATTTAGTTAAAAATATATTTAATCTTTTTTAAAATAAATTTAAAAATTAGGAAAATAAATATTATAAAAATCTTAGTAAAATTATAAGATTATTATTCTAAGCTTTTTTAAGAGACTAAAAAATCTATATACCTAAAAAAAAAAGTAAAAGAATAATAGATTCTTTATATAATCTATTTAAAAATAAGATTTTACTTAAATAATTAAAAGATAATAGAGATTTTAAGTAATAATTAATATCCTAAAACTATAATATAAAAATACCCTTTAGTTTACTAAGAAATAATTAAGTTATATTTAATAAAGATCTTAATAAACTTAAAGATAATAAAGATAATTAATAAGAGTTATATTTACTATTTTAAAGATAAGAACTAGAGCTTATTAACTAATTTAACTATTATATAATATTATTACCTTCTATACTTCCTCCTTTAATACCTTTTTTAATAATATTAAAGGAAGTTTATAATTAATATAATTAAGGTTTCCTTTAATTATTATATTAACCTAACTATAGTAGAGATAACTAATATAAGGTAAGTAAAGGTAATAAATAAGGTTTTAAAAGGATAATAAAATCTTTATTTAGAGATAAAAATAATAAATATAATTATAACTTATCTAAATATATAAATAAACCTCTAAATAATATTTAATATAATAATAGTAGTAACTAAGATCTTAAGTTTATATATATCTTTAAAAAGTTTATTAATATTTCTTATAAACTTATAAACTTAAATAAGAATTATTATAAGTCTAAAAAATATATAAGAATAGGTATTAATAGTAATTTCTTTAATATAAAATATAATATATTTATTAATAAATATAGAAGATTAGAAGTACCTAAAGAAGTATATAATTAAATATTCTTAGTAATATTAAAGGGCTAAGTTTTAGATTTTTATATTAATTATCTTATTAATAAAGGCTTTATTTATCTTATACTATAAGCTAAAATTAAGGCTTATTTTAAACTATTAAGTATAATTAATTAATATTATTAGGAATAGTAGAAATTTTTATTAAAAGAAGTAATAAAGAAGAATAAAAGAAAAATAATATAAGAAGCTATTATAATTATAATAAATAGAATATAAAACCTTTATTATAATATATTGAGTAATAATAAATATAGATATTAAGACCTCTAATAGACTTTAATTATAGTTATATTAGATATTCTAGAATATATAATAACTTTATTTAAGTTAGCTATAATATATAAAAAAGTCTTAAGTAATATATAAT